CCTAAACCCCTACAACCTAAACCCTACACCTTAAACCCTGAAGCCCTAAACCCTAAGGATTATCACAGGACTCCAGGCCTCGAAGAAGTGCACCATGTGGAGAGGAGTCGGTTTAGGGTTTAGGGTTTAGGGTTTAGGATTTAGGGTTTAGGGTTTAGGGTTTAGGGTTTAGGGTTTAGGATTTAGGCTTTAGGATTTCGGGTTTAGGGTCTAGGGCCTAGGGTTTGGTATTTAGGGCTTTGGGTTTCGAGTTTACGATTTAAGGTTTCGGGTTTCGGCTTTACAGGTGCGGTTAGGGCCGGTTAGGGTTTCGGTTGAGGGTTTGGGAGTGCCTCACCGCCCCCTACCCTGAATGTAATCGTCGTCTCTTGATGTAGCTGCAGCCGAAACCACTGTCAGCTTGTCAGAACACCCGCTGATAAGTCCCTTTATGACTACAGCGCAATATGTCCCAACTCTTTTACGTTGACTTTCAAAGCCTCATTATGAATCCCTTATCGAACCCTCTGACTCTACCTCTAGTACTCTGCTTACCCTGATAACTTGTAACGCTCTGTTCTTATTGTTATGGTCCCAAGCAGAGGCTTAACCACAACGAGATGCGTGCGACACATGGCTGAATGAAAGTTTCTGTATATCGGGATTTCAAGAGCTTTTGAGGGTTTGTGAAACGGGATTTGAAGGGCTTTCAAAACAGGGTTGTCAATGTCAAGGGTTTAGGGCGTTGTTAAACGGGGTTCAATGGGCTTCAAAAAAGGGATAAGGGGTTCTGAAAGGGGGGGTACCTCGTTTGGTGGGACGGAGGCAGGAATAATAGCGGCCAAGTATTCTGGGTCTGTTGCTGCAAACCCCCAAACCCCTCCGTGATGGCTTGCAAAACCAGGAACCCTTAAAACCTAAGCCCCAAGTCCTAAACCCAAAACACTAAACGCCAAACCTAAACCCTCAATCATCAACCCTGAACCCGAAACACTCCACCCCAGGCCCCGAAATTCCAAACCCTCAAGACCGAGGTTGGTGGACTTGCTCAGCGAGGGAGGAAAGCCGGTCCCCATCTCGGAGCCTTTGCTTAAGCAGTGCAGTCCCGAAGTAAAGGCTTTTTCACAGATACGGAAGGTTTCATTGGGTGCTTCTTAGTTGTTCCTAAGCTGTATCACGGCTTCGTAGGGGCTTAGAATGCATCTTGAACCTGTGTTTTCAGTTTAAAGCACTTCCGTTTCTCAGGACTTCCTGCATGCGGCGCTGACCATGAACGACACGGCAAGAACGATTCACATGATGCAGCCCCTCGATCGAAGAAGAGCGACTAACTAGAAGCCTTATGTTTTAAACGAGCCCTTAAGAGAACTCTTAAAGGAAGCTTTACCCTAACCCTAGACCCGAAACCCTAAGCCCCAAACCCTCAACCATACAACCCAAACTCTAAAATCTGAAGACTTCAGCCCTTGAAAGAGCCCTTCTGTACCTCTACTTACCCTGACCGAAACCCTAAATCCTAAACTCCGAAGCTTTGCGCCAAAACAAGGAACCCTTACTCTTGCTTACCCTGACTCCCCTGTAAGGAACCCTGAAAGGAGCTCTTACCCGAAACCAAGGAACCCAAAATGAGTCCCCGATCTACCCAAAACCCCAAACCCAAAACCCTAAACCTTAAACCCTTAAAGGAACCCGGAACCCTTAATATAGGTACCTATACTATCTTTTGGGGGGTTCCGTATTGTAATTATTAGTACAATCTACCCCAAAACCCTATTCTAGTTATTAATTCCCCTACGTTAATCTTGCTTACCCGGGCTCCCCTTTCTTTGAGGACGTCCATCGATGTAGCGCGGATCGAAAGGGCGATCCTCCAGCTCGGTAAGGGCCTCAGATGTTCTGCAAGGGGTTCTTTTAAGTCTTTTAAGGGATTAGGGTTCCGGGTTTGGCCAGGGAATAAGGGTTCCATAAAGGGTTCCTTAAGAATCCTACTTATGAGGGGTTTTCATAAGGGTTCCTTGAAGGATTGCTGAAAGGGGCGTGCACGGGGTACGATAGGGGTTCTTATCGCTTAGAGTTTGGGGCGTTTGGGTCTCCCGAGTTCGGGTTTAGGCTTTGGGGTTTAGGGGTTTAGGGGTTGAGCGATGCCTTTTCAGAAATGGGCGTGGGTAATTCCTTAGAGTCGATAATGTAGTGATGCAGTAATATGGGGGCCTAAATAATTACCAATACTATTTGGGGGGTTCCTCTTTGTAAGTATAGCATATTATGCCCCAAGACCCTATTCCAATTATTGAGGCCCCTAAACCCTAAACCCTGAAACTAGCCCTTATAGAACCCTTTAAGGAACCTTTTAAAGGAACCCTATGAAACCGTATTCTAAGTACGAAGGCCCCTACAGTACCAGATGCGAAAAGCCAAGGCCCACCCCCCTGTCAGACCCCAAGGCCCAAACTCCTCAAGGTTTAGGGTTCAGGGCTGCGGGTTTAGGGTTTATGGTTTAGGGTCTAGGCTCTAGGGTTTAGGGTTTAGGGTATAGGGTTGAGGGTTTAGGGTTTAGGGTTGAGGGTTTAGGGTTTAGGGTTTAAATCGGACACCCCTTCCTGGCTTCGGTGCCTCAGGTGCCAGGCAGAATGCCCTGCTCAGAAAGCTGAGCCCTGTCTGTTTGGAGGCCACCGTCTCCGCCGTGTGAGAGGCTTGGCTGCCCCGAAAACAGCCAAAGCCCTAGACATTTACAGTTTTCCCTAAACCCTAAACCCTAAACCCTAAGCCCCAAACCCTAAACCCTAAACCCTAAACCCTACTCCCCAAACCCTAAACCCTAAACCCTAAACCCTATATAGAGGCTTAGGCTTGAACCCAAAAGGTCCTACTTAAGCCGTCCTCCTGTTTTAAAGGCCAGGTAGTCCCCATATTAACCCCAATAACCTACACCCTTAGACTAAAGGTCCTACTGAAGCCTCCCTCCCTAAACCCTAAACCCTAAACCCTAAACCCTAAACCCTAAACCCTAAACCCTAAACCCTAAACCCTGAACCCTAAACCCTAAACCCTAAAGCCCTAAACTCCTCCTGCTTTTAAGGCCCAGGGCCGAACGAAGCGTGGCTCCCCAGCCCGAAGCTCTGCCGATGCGCCGAAGAGCGGCGCCTTTCTGCCGGGCAGGAGCTGGAGGGAAGTGTAATAGGCCCTAAACCCTAAAAACCCTAAACCCTAAACCGAAATACCTATACTCTTTTGGGGGTTCCTGACTATGGTTATAGTATAATGGGTTTAGGGTTTAGGATTTTAGGGTTTAGGGCCATAGGATAGGGGCCTTAATAAGTAGAATGGGGTTCTTGGGGTATAATATTATACTCTAACTATAATATAGGGGCCTCAATAATTGGAATAGAGGTCCTTTAAAGGGTTCTGAAAAGGGTGTATAAGGGTTTCTTTAAGGGATACTATAAGGGAATAATCTAGGGGCCTTAATAAGTAGAATAGGCTTTTTGGGGTATACTATGCTACAGCTATAATATAGGGCCTCAATAATTAGAATAGGGTTTTGGTGTATATTATACTGTAACTATAATAAGGAACTCCCAAAATAGAACTGGTAATTTTGAAGGCCCCTGTATTGGACCAGTCCGAGTTTAGGGTGTAGGGTCTAGGGTTTCAGGTGTTGTAGATATAGTGGCCCCTTCCGGTCCCTAGTAAAGATGCACTAACATACCTCCCAAGATCAACTTTCGAAGAGCCTTCGACGTCGCTGTGAAGATGTGATGGACTTTCCAGCTGACTGTGCATGCTGCCCTCGCTACTGGAAGCTCGGTGGCTTGGGCATGTCGTGGTAATCCATGACCGATCGAAACTTTTCGAGCCATCGGGGCTTAGAGAAATGCTCTGCTTTTTGCGATGTGAAAAGAGTCCTGCGGCAGTTCCGAGCTGTGGGATACGTTCAGATAGTGGTACATGTTTTGGTGAAGGGAAGTGACAGGGTGCCTCCCTTGGTTAAGCGGAGAGGCCTGAACAATTAGGGTTCCTTTGTCCACTTCTGCTAAAGTATACCCATCACAAACCCCATTCAAATCACGTAGGCCACCCATCAATCCCTATAGAAGCCTACTATAAACCCTTATAGAACCCTTAGCGGAACCTTTTAAAAGAACCCTTATAGGTCATCAGCCCTTAAAGGAACCGTCAAGGGAACCCTGGTCGAATTATTGGGGCCTCCGTAAACCCTAAACCCTAAGCCCTAAACCCTAAACCCTAAGCCCCAAACCCTAAACCCTAAAGCCTAATCCCCAAATCCTAAACCCTAAGCCCTAATCCCCAAACCCTAAACCCTAAGTCCCAAACCCCAAATCGTGAGGCCCTGGATTCACAGCTATCGGCATCATGGCGCTTGGCGATGCGATCGCAGGCCGACTGTGACTTCCTTTATGGTAACTATAGTACCTATTCGGTAAGCAGTATTAATTCAAAAAGCCCTTCATAGTACCTATTCTGTAAGCAGTATTAATTCAAACAGGCCCCTTATTGTACCTGTTCAATAAGCCCCTTATAGTACCTATTCTGTAATTAGCCCTGCCAAAAAATGCACACCGACAACACGATTGAAACTGTGGAGGCTCCGATGTTATCATGTTTTGAGAGTACTCATGATGATGAAAATGATGATGATAATGATGATGATGATGGTGATGATGGCGACGACAATGATGACGACAATGATGATGATGATGATGATGATGATGGTGATGATGATGATGATGATGAATGCGACGACGATGATGATGACAATGGTCGTAACGATGATGATGGTGATAATAGTGACGACGATGGTGACGATGATGGTTGTTTTGTCTAGTATTTGTCCATGGTCGCGCCATGTCTGTCGTTGTCTGCCCAACAGGTATGCGACGTGCGGAAGGACTGAGCACATCGGGGCATTGAGGTTGACAGGTCATACGGTTGATGATACATATCCAGCATTCCCCATAGTAAAGAATATACCATGGTTCCCATAGTTTAGGGTCCTTAAAATAACGTAGGCTGTATAGCATCAACAGTAAGCAGGTCGTGCCGAAAGGCACCGGTGGCTGAGTGCGGCCTGAGGAAGCAGTCGCAGTGTTGCCCGTCTGACATGCACCGACACTGCCCTGGATCTCGTCTACTAACTCATAGTCTCCGTGCAGTTCTGTACATAACTCATCAGTCTCTTACAATGCGAGCATCGTTACCGCTGGTGCATACCAAACATTGCCACTGGCGGACAGTAGACAGTTCGCAGTTCAGCAGTCTGACTCGCACTTCCACGGCTGGTTGCGTAGAGTTTGGTTCGTACGTTAGTGCCTTCAAGTTGTTGTGCTGGCATCAGCGACAAAGATGCTATCAACACTACGATGTTCCCCTTTGACTTCCGAATTCTTAACGGGATCTGCTGTAATCCTAGGTAGTATTAGGGAGACCCCTGAAAGGGGAGCCTTCTTCAGCCTACTTGTGGCTCTCTAAAAAAGGGACCTTCTCGAGAGGGTCTATATCCCCGAGAGTCCCCCTAATCCTAACTCCCATGTAAGTCTACCATCTTCACGAAGTTTAGGCTTTAGGGTTCAAAATTTGGATGCCTTATGTTATGCTGCAAGCTACATTAGCTTGCGACGGAAGCTTTCTTAGGAGAGGGAGCTTGTTTACGTGTTGGGGACGTACTTGGTTTGGAATGGTGGAATTCTCAAGTCGATGCAATTCCTGCACCTCTCTGCAATCCTGTAGACAGTAGATCCGCAAACCCCCAAAACCCTTTTCAAAGTCTCAAGGCCCTTACCCTAAACCCTGAGCCCTAAACCCTAAACCTCTTGTATTGCCCAACTGTTGGAAGGATCTTGTTCGTTCGCAGCTTGTCTGCGACGAGATCACTCCAGAAGGCGCCTTCGTGCAGGGGTTTGGGCTGTGAAGTTTAGGGTTTAGGGATCCAGGGCTTTGGGTTTGGAGGTTTTGAAGTAGTTCAGGTTTGGGGTTTAGGGTTTAGGGGGTTTCTTTCCTATTCCAGAACTCAAGATGCGGCATTCAAAGTTCCGGGTGCGCCAGAATTATCGTATATGTAGATTCGCCAGCTTGTTGTATTTTGCTAGCGGCAGGCTCCGCAAAAGTCCTTTCTGTATACCGCCGCAAACCGTAACGGCCAGACCATAAACTCGAAACCCTAATCCCCCAACCCTGAACTCTTAAACCTTAATACCTACCCTAAACCCTACACCCTAAACCCTAAACCCTAAACCGTTTAGGGTCTAGGGTTTTGTACCGCCCCCCCCCCCCTACCCCCTCTGAGCCTTTCAGGCGTGCTTGAGATGGCTCTGTGTGGTCCTGCCGACAAGGTGCTGCACTTCTGGCAGGCCAACCGGGCGAACTGAATATTACATGCCCGGTAATAAAGTTTCGTCGCATCCGCTTAGAAACACTAAGCGGAGTACGCG